TGCCAGCCTGGCGCATACATTGGCGGCATCAATGAGCTATCGGACTTCGTCTCTAAAGGTATCTCTCACCCTACTCAGCCATCGGAACTAATGACCTGGCCACCACGGTCGCCCCTACAGCATTCGACTGCTACGTGACCCTTCTAGACCACATCCGGCATGAAAGACCCGACATCACTATGATGTTTACCACCTTAGTGCTTCCACGAACCCCCATTAGATGACTTCACCGACACAACTAGCGTGTGGTGAGGAGATTCAATTTCGAGGCTTGTGTCATCAGAGAGAGGGTGTCTTTTAGGTGAACCATAGGATCGACGCGCTCCCGCCATGGACTGTGCTCGCGGCCGATGGTCTCCACCCGAGCTTCGCCGGAGCGTCCCTAATAGCGTGGAACATCTACAACCTGCTCCTCGACCTACGGTGGCCCTACATCCACAACTGATTGGACCGCGCACCACAGTCGGAGGCGTACCAGCTTCGGGATACGCCATCCTATTTCAGGCTTCCGGCATGACCCTTCCAGTCACACCTGTCGAGGCGGCGAAGGGCAGAAAGAGAACCAGGTGGCCCCACAAACAGCCGCTACTTTTTCTACTGGCCAGCAGATCCCGTCGAGACACCCATCACAGAGTGCGCGACCACCATCACGCGTACCACATCCCTCGACGCTGCCTACGAGACACACCCCGAAAAATGCGACGAAGGTTAATCCGGGCCAACAACGCCAGCCAGCTGTACCCCAATCAACAGCATTCAGTGGCCAGAATCAACCATCCCCAAGCAGCAAAAATCAGCAGCCAACATTAGCCAAGAGCAACCAGCTGCAGCCAACAGCAGTCGCCTACAGGCTATCTCGTCACGGGAGGCACAACAGGATGGAGCTCCAACCCAAACCAGGTACGACCTTCGGGTACCTTGTGATTCAACTCACCGCGTCTGTGGAAAGTGACTTACGGGCTGTGCGAATAGGCAAACACCATCCGCTTCAGATAAACTAGGCCACAGAACAGGTCCAAATTTTCTTAAACTTAGAGAAGTTGTTGACAAACAAATACAGCATGAACTTCATGCGCGTAGGCTCGAAAAGTATATACCGGCGGGTACGGCTCCGAAGGGGCTGCGCTTGTCGCTAACACCACTGACGCATAATTTTGCCAAAGGGGAAATGAAACAGCGGAAGAAAATTCTCGATCACGCCACACAGGAGCTAACTAAAGTCACCATTGAACATTGTCAACGCCTCCTTTATTAAGATGGCTGAAGAATGGCTCGTGTTGCCAGTGGAGACGTTCTGCCTCACTTTTGTGCAAGTGCCGTGCAGTGGCGCTCGAGACCCACACTATTATCATGGTGTATTTTACTTGTTGCCCCTAGGGGCGCGTCACTCGAGAGTTATTCGAGATCTGCAACCGTACATGAATATTTCGGAGGCTATGGAAAATGTTGAGTTTTGCACCATCCGGCACAGGTGATGCTAAAGACCGAGAGTATTCAAAAATGAAGGAGGGAGATGGTGTGGCAGCTGTTTTTGTTCTCACGCGGCACGGCAGGCATCCAAATAGAGCAGACGTTGACACTGTACAAAGACTCTGAACACACTGACAGAGGAGGAGGGGTATATAAGAAATAACTTTCGTGTTTCGGAGTGGGAGGCTAAAGAGCTCGCCGTATTTGAGCACAAAAAACGGAGAAAATAGAAAAAGTTGAAAGAAAAAAATTTACGCATTTATATATTACAAAACGCAAGAAACAAAAAAATACAAAAAGCACTCCTGTGTGCGTAATCGAACGTGGAACCTCTGCGTCCTGAAAGCGAGGCGTTAACCACTGAGCCACCCTCCGAAGAACGTTGGGCACCATTCGAACGGCAATCTGTCATATCTACCACTTACGGCTGCTGTGTTTTCGGCATTACCAGAAAGAACGCGCAACAAGCGCAGGTCGCCACATCACGCAGCGGCGCCTGCTCTAATCTCCTACGCGTACTTTGCCTGGCTTAGAAAAGGGGAGCGACGCTCCCTTGCGCGGCCTAATCTCGCGGTGGAGAGGAGGGGAGGATCATACGCCTTGGCTGGACTCAGGCTTTACGTGGAACGATTCTACTGTAAATACCGTGCGCACAAAAGCTACTTCAATCAATGCAGTCTTCATTCGCGAAAAGCACGCGCTTTTCAGGCTCAGCGAAGTAAGAAATGAGACACTTAATCGCGTGCATCCGTACTTGTGAGTACGTCTCGTGCGTAATATTTGTACGAATAAACGCAGACCACGTTTCGATATTCTTTCCAATCTGTGCGTGACCTTTCAAATTGTTGCTATCGCGTTCATTGGTTCGCCTTTGCGGTAAAGCTGTGACTTTTTTTGGTTCCCAGCCAATAATGGCTCATATTGCTTCACAATAACTGTAGAAGGCAAATAAGTGTTGAAAAATGGCGTGTGAAATATTTGATGGCCAAGCGAAATGTTGATGAGAGAATGCTTTGACTTTTCAGTCTATACTAAGTGTTCACTATAGGTTCGTACTACCTATGCAAGTGATATCAAATTTTAAAGGACCTTGTTGCACCATTCACATGCTAAGCAATATGTGGGAAAAATTTCATGCTCATTGCACTACCAGAACTAACGAAAACATGATGTCAGAACTCAAAAAGTTGCCCAGAAATGGTCTTGAGAAAAAATTTATAAATGTGTGTGATAGCTCATCTATGAAGATGCATTTTTGAAGATTACTTCTTCAGTCATCAGAACTCGGCAATTATGGTTATTTTGAACAAGTGGCTTTAGTGAACCCTCCATCTGAAATGCAACGACAAGCAGCCAGGTGAAAATTTCCACAAGATAGACATTGAGGTTCTTTTAGTTTTATTCACCTTGTGCTCTTTGAATGCTACATCTTCAAGTTTACTTACATTTTGTTTTTGTCGTAAAAGTACAGAAAATAAACTTGGGAAAAACAAATATAAAACGAAAATACGTATTTCCGAAAAAAAAAACGCGCTTTTTGATTCGCATCTACGTTATACTTTACAGTCACACATATGCTCCTCTTGTAGAGCTATAAATGAGCTTCTCCGGTGCGTTCCGGCTGTCGGCAAATAATGCAAGGTGGGTAGAAGGGGGTGTTAGAGTGCGCGTAATCACAACGCCTCCCTCATCAACGGGCGCTTTCAGCATGATTTCAGTTTCTCTGCGGTGGCTTGAACCGCACGTTCCTCTCAAACGAAGTAGTTTTATGACAAGAAGCCAGTGCTGCCAGATTACTGCAATTATACTATAACGGCCCACATAAACTTATTTCCCTTCAGCGTTATTACAGAAATGCGGGCATAATAATATTTTGAAGCATATTTTAGTGCTTTAACAGCTAATTAAGCCTCGCAATTAGCAACTCCGGAAAGCGCTACGTGCACTGGCAACGTTGGTTGAAAAAAAAAAAGATGGCTGCGCTGAACAGGGTCAACGCGGCACTTTTGCGTGGCGCTGTGCTGAAGTTTCTTGATTTTGGCGTCGCATCATCGTGGTTCAACGAAGGCTAAAGGGTGCTGGCCGTGGACCGCCTCATTTTCATGAGCATGAAGGATTTCACTGCCAAAGCAGCGGAAATAGTTATGCTGTGCGCGCAAAAATCGAACCTTTTTGGTGAAGCGCATAAGATATAAAGTACCTGTCTAGCGAGCCCGAGGTTGAAGAAGGCAACTGCTCTAGTGCAGCAGGCCTCTCCTAAAGATGCTAGCACTTTTGCGCTGCGTAAATTGCTACACTGCTACAGACAAGGCCTTGGCAGTTTTCTAGGTAACTACGTGGTGACTGGTGCTGCCGATCACATGTATCCCATTCAGTTTCATTGTCACGTCCAAAGCTGAATACGCTTGGCGCTCATTTGATTACAGAGCGTATATAGCTATACCTGCAGTAGATTGACATAAGGCAAATCGTTGTTTAGATTGTAATAAGAGTACTCTTTTCTTTTTATACGCCGATCCAGGTTACGAGGTTTACAAGGGATAACGCCATGTGCTTCCGAACACTCGCTTGTTCGTATTGGCAGTAGTTGATATTCGAGGCAGATGAATTCACACACTACGCAGGCTACGAATGCAGAAACAGGATATACACACCCAAAAACATACACGCATGCTACGCACGCGCGGCCTTTGCGCATGTGTTTGTGCTTGTATATAGACACATGTGAAATCAAAAATAATTGGAGGGAAGGCTACATCATCCTAAAGCACTAAGATTTGCGTAGAAAACAAGCATGCCCGAGAAATACATTCACACACGTAACACCACTAGTTTCCTAAAGCACTCGCTTATACTATAAAATAAACTATACTCCACGCTTAGAGATGCCCTAATATTGATAAGTACACACACACGCTAAGTTACAGGGAACAGACCGAGAAGAATTAGGTGGTCGCTTGCGAACTGATTAAAAAAAGCTACCGCAATGTCCGTCACCTTCTTTCCAATGCGTAGGCTTCTGATTTTCGCCGTTCTCCATCGCGCGTCGTCGGCATTCTTCAAGAATGATACATTGTCATGTTTACACCACAATTCTATGTTTTCTGCACATAGCAATGGTCTTTGGTTATCACTTTCTTCTTCTTCAGGCTCGCGCGTGTGGCATGCGAAAACAAAAGAACTATAAGGTCGTTTCTCAAGGCGCGCAACGTCATCACATATATCCTTTCAAGGTTGACCCTTTTATCGCTGTTTCCAGGCGCGGTCACAAGGTGGCCAGCGCTCACTTGAAGTTGTGATTTACAGTTTAAAAAAATTTTAAACTACACTTATATTTGGAACACTATTAATGACATCTGAAGCTTACGTTCTTGATTGGCTCGAGCACTATACATTTGTACACTACAAATCTAGGGGAACAAATTTTGATGGTTCAGTGACTGTATTCTCTATCCAATATTTAGCTCAAACTTTCTGTGCTGCATCATGAGATTACTGAAGAATAATGAATAAAATTAGGATCATCTTACGTATTTTGAACTGACAAATGCATGTGAAGTAGTGGCACTGTCCTTTAACGTCATAGGAGTCTCTGTGGTTATCGTAGCATCTTTGTTGGCAGTCCTCGAATCTGCACTCTGTGAAAGAAAAAGAAAAAAAAGTCTGTGAATACACGTAAGCGTAAATCTCTACTCATGTGAAATGCGGAGCCTGTTTAGCACGCGGCAAAAGCTCTGTCTCTTTCACAGGCATTTACTGATGTCTGAACATTCGCTCCTTGAACACCATCCGGACACCCGATAATTTAATTGGCAAAAAATTCGCATGTTATCCACCCGACTCCCTGCAATTCAGGCCACACGAAGGCTCCCATTATTATTATTTTGTGACAGAAGGCATTAGATTATACAATACAAATATAAGTGTCCAGTAGAGTTTGCGCTAAATATTCCATAAGGCGCTTATCATGTCGAATGTTTACAAATTCAGCGTCACTGCGCTCCCACTTTTGTGCAGAGTGTAGTATGAAGAAGAGCAAAAAATACTAGTTTCGCAACCTTCACAGTTGATTCTCGCAGCTGTAAACCGCAATCAGCATACCAATAGAATGAGAGTTAACAAAACGAGCATAACCAACTTTATGAAATGATATTCAAGGACATTTTTCAATCAAGAAAATGGAGACAAGAGGAGCCAAGTATGTGCTTGAATGAGTTACTAAATAGACCCTTTCAATAAATACGCCACCTGAGGGTGAGCATTTCGCCAGTTTCACTTCGCAAAGGAGCGTGAGATGGCTAGCGCCATCATGAAGGCATGGAAAGCGAGCGGTCAAATGAGTGAGTGCTGTGATGTTTGTGTTTTCGGCTAGTTCTCCGTGTTATTCGCTGCAATCGCACCGTTTTCTAGCTTGAACGAGCTCCTAGCACCCTCCCATAAGCTTTCTGAGCTCCTTCCGCTGCACTATGGGCAATATTTTGTACCCTTCAACGGATTCGACGAGCAGCTTGGCTTGTTAAGAGGGGCACTGCATGGATACAGCCTGCAAGAGACTCTCACCGGCGTGCCCTCCCGACATGGTGCGCGTCCTGCAGGAACGCAAGAGGTGCCTGTGTGCGCTGCAAGAAACTCTCATCAGCGTCGCTAGGACACACAGCCTGCGTCGTCTGCGGCAGTGCCCTCACAATGGCGGTGGACTGCAGTTCTCGTCCGCGGCGCTAGGGGCACCCTTTTTCTAAAAGGGTCCATACCATCCTTTTTCTTCTTTCTTTCTTTCTTTGTTTCTTTCTTTGTTTCTTTCTTTCTTTCGCATTGCTTACTGCGCTATGCTTCTTCCTCAATGCCGAGAATCGGAGTTTCATCTACGTGCTTAGTAGAAGAGCACTTTAGTTGTTACAGGTAGCAACGAGAGTGATGCATTCATGTCCACAAATTAATAAAATGTGGTAACGAAACATGCCAAATCACCGTGATACATAGCATATTGTCGTAACATAAATGGCTAAATGGCTCATCGCCAACGAAGACCCGATAGATTGAAGAAAACCCGGGGTTGAACGTCCCAAATGCACCATATATAGATTAAGAGAGACTCCATAGTGGAGGGCTCCGGAAAGTTCAACCACCTGGCCTTCTTTGACGGGCAATGAAATCTGAGCACACAAGCTTACAGCATTTTCACCTGCACAGAAAATGAAGCCGCCACCTTCGGGATTCGATCCCGCCATTTGTGGGTCAGCAACTTGACCACAGCCGTGGGGTGAGGCCACGATAGAGAAAGCATCAAATATGGCAAACAGTACGTACAAATACGCATGTGGCCGTTGCACCTTCGATGGCAGCGCATTTTTGTACGTACGTGAGTGCCATGTTTTCGCGCACGTTCATGCCGCTACCAAGTTAACTTACTCACGACAAGCTTTACTTGTGAATTTTCAAGACATATAACTTAAATTTACATCAGAGAGCGGCAAGAGAGTGCTTCAATTTATTAGTATAATTCGACGTTGCGGCTACAACTGAGCGAAATACAGAGGTTAACTTATATTCTTACTTCAAGCGTGACAATCACATTTCACTTCAACAGATCTACCGATGACGGAGTGCATTGCTATTTGAACCGAACAATGCTCGTTGTTGATGGCTGTGATTTTTTTTAGGTGAAATGCTGTCAAGTGTTTGATTTTTATTCACGCAAACACACATACACAATTATCTAGACCAATGACAGCCAGGGAAGGCTAGTTTCTAGTCGAGTGCAAAGAATCAAACAGAGGTCAGTTGCAGAGTTTTAGCAAGATGGTATTCAATAACATCACAAATAAAGCAAACGTTATATTATTCATAAACAAAGTTCTTCTTAATGTAAACCTAGCCAGTGAATAAAAGCTTGTTAGATATTCTGGTACGCAATAAAAAACATTTATAGGACTGTGATATTTTCTGTGTTGTTTTAACCCTCTAGTGATAAAATTATCCAGGGGCGCTGTGCAGGATCAGCCGAGTTCTGTCAAGCTCGGGATATTCCCAAGCTCTGGAGACATCCCCTTATAAACGAGCCAACAGGACAAAAAAAAAAGCCAAATCCATACCCTGAGCACACTACGTTTCATTGGTTACGATGGGACTAGTCCACGTCAAGGACGGTCGACAAAGGTGGGCGGTGTTTTCAAATCAGAGGTATTTTCTTTGATTTGTTTGTCGTTCTACTGAGTGCAGAAGTGCACCCATGCAACAAACTTCTCGTGGTGATATTTGTTACAGGCAGGGGTGTTTAAATTTATTTTGAAGCTTTTAATGCCTGCCCAAAGTCTGTTTAAGAATAATCGCCACGGTGGCCTTGGAGATCAGCAAGAGCCGAGCGTCTTACAACATCGCGACCGCACCTAAATCTGAGGAACCGTGTCGGTCTGTACATTCTAGCGAGGTCACATTTCAGCCTTTACATTACCGAGGCCACGTGTCAGCCTGTACAGTGCTCAACTCGGCTGTCTATAACGACAGAGCATCGCGCGCAAAACAGCACGAGTAACATCTGTGGTCAAAAATACGCCACATCTGAGCATGTGCGGCACCAATGATGTACCTGCCCTGCAGTTTTCACCCTTCTTTATCTCCGCAGCCGCGATGGCTGCTTTGGTCGTCGAAGCGCTGTAAACATTACAAAATGGAAGTAAAGCAACAACAAAAAAATCCTCGATTCGTGATATCATATCACAGTGACAACGGTTTTACTTCGTCTTTCTTTCTTATTTTGTTTTTTTTTGCTTTTTCGCGGAATTGCTCAGAGCGCTTTCGACAGTCAAAGCGGTTGTTGAGTCCATAGCAATAAACAGCGATCAGTATTGCGAGGCAGGCACATCACTGGCGGGGCGCACGTTCTGATGTGGCGTATTTGCGACTTCAGAGGTCGCCTGTGGTGTTTCCCGTACGATGCTCCGTCGTTATAGGCAGCCGAGTTGAGAACTGTACATTCCAGCGCGCTGCTAGGCCAGTGCGCGCCATCTTTGTCGTCATCACGCGCTAGCACCCGGGCATGTGCGGCCGGTGATTTAGCTATTTGGATGGATCATACACTTCGCTAGTTACGCAATTACATGCTGTAACAAAGCTAATTACGCCAAGCCATGGTTAGGCCAAGGTACCTACACCTCATTTTAGGAAGACCGTGCTGATGATACCATGTAAAGCTGGAACCAGGCTACCTGAAGCATGCAAGCTGATGAGCTAACTTATGATCATCAGCCTGACTACGTCCACTGCATGACAAAGGCCTTACCCATGTTCCGCCAGCTAACTCGGTCCTGTGCTTGAGGCGGACAATTTATACCACAAACTTGTTAATCTCATCTGCCCACCAAATCTTCTGTATCCTCCTAACCCACTTGCCTTCTATGAACATCCAGTTGGTTACCCTTAATGACCAGTGCTTATCCTGACTACGCGCTACATGCCCGGCCCATGTCCATTTACTCTTCTTGATTTCAACTATGATATCCTTAACCCCCGTTTGTTTCCTAATTCACTCTGCTCTCTTCTTGTGTCTTAAGGTTACACCTACCATTTTTCTTTCCATTTCTCGCTGCGTCATCCTCAATTTAAGCTGAATCCTCTTTGTAAGTCTTCAGGTTTCTGCTCCATAGCTAAGTACCGGCAAGATACAGCTGTTATATACCTTCCTCTTGAGGGATAGTGGCAATCTACCTGTCATATTTTGAGAGTGCCTGCCAAATGTGCTCCACCCCATTTCTATTCTTCTAGTTACTTCAATCTTGTGGTTCGGCTACGCAGTTATTACCTGCCCTAAGTAGACATAATCTTTTACAACTTGAAGTGCACTATTACCTATCTCAAAGCGCTGCTCCCTTCCGAGGTTTTTGTACATTACTTTCGTTTTCTGCAGAATAATTTTAAGACCCACGTTTCTGCTCTCTTTGTCTAACTCCGCAATCAATAAATGCGATTTGTTCCCTGAGTTACTTAGCAATGCTATGTCATCGGCGAAACGCAGGTTACTAAGGTACTCGCCATTAACTCTTATCCCTTACTGTTACCATTCTAGGCCTCTGAAGACCTCCTGCAAGAACGCCGTAAATAGCATCGAGGAGATTGTATCTCCCTGCCTTACGCCATTATTGATTGGTATTTTGTTGCTTTCTTTGTGAAGCACTGTGATAGCAGTTGATCCCCTGTAGATCTCTTCTAAGACGCTTATATATACTTCATAGACGCCCTGATTCTGCAGTGTCTGCATGACTGGTGATATTTCTACTGAATCAAACGCCTTCTCGTAATCTATGAAGGCTATGTATCGTGGTTGGCTGTATTCTGAGTATTATACAATTCTGATTTACGGTATGAATGTGGTCGATTATTGAGTAGACTGTTTGAAATCTTGCTTGTTCCTTTGGTTGATTGAATTCTAATGTTTTCTTAACTCTGTTAGCAATTACCTTTGTTAATAGTTTGTATACTATGGAGAGCAAGCTGATCGGCCTGTAATTATGCAAGTGCTTCTCATCTCCTTTCTTATGTATAAGGATGATGTTAGCATTCTTCCAAGACTCTGGTACTCTTCCCGTCAGGAGACACTTCGTAAACAGGGTGGCTAGTTTTTAACACAATCTGTCCTCCATAT